CACTTTTTATATACGTAATTTATTTTTCTCGCCATAACTTTCTTTTATTTATTTTATTTTCTTATGTCAAATTACCATATTTACATTTTACTTTATTTAAGATTTCGAGGTACAAATTTCATTGATTTTCTCACGGATATTTATTTTAAAATTTTATTAACATTTTTCAAATTAACCACATCATTTTTAAGTAGCAAATTTCCTATGGTAATCATATTTCCTTAGATTTTTCCATTTGTTTTGAGAATGCTCGTAGAGAGAGCGAAACGTTAACATGAAAATAAAAATTTAAATATCCGACAGGTTTTCACATATTCCATCTTATATACTTTGTTTGTAGTTATTGATCTTGAGTGGGCATCTCGGCTTCAGTCACTTTCCTCCTGCCATATTGTAGCAGCTTCCCTGTGCCGCTTCTATAAAAACTTTCATGGTAATCGTTCTGTAGTACCTAGATTTTATTAATTTAAGCTCAGTATTAGATTGGCACCATGGAATAATGGATAGCAGCTCGGATTGAGGAATCGGAGAGCCGAGTTCGAATTCCAGTCGAATCCATTACATTCACTTATGGGCTAATACCCTTGGGAAAGGTATGAATCCTCCTCTTCTCCTCCAGCTATGGTTAAATAGTAAGACAGATTGGGTTCTGTCCTTGAAAGCCAACTGGTCCACAGCAGAAAGAAATGGCAACCTACTGCGGGAAAAAATCTGCCTCATCAGTCATGTATCGAAAGATACACGATCGCCTAAGCGTGTATCACGCATGGCCCATAACTGACTGATTAGATTGGCAACAACAATTGGCAAGATGTAACCGTAAATTCTTTGCTAACAGTTTCGTTTCTCGCACTTCTCGTCTGTGGAACTTTAGTTCGGCTTCATGCTTTGCAGCCATCTTTGATCTTCAAAAATTTAAATGCAGTGTCAATTGTTATCTATTGTCTTCTCGATTCTTATTTTATTGTTCTCGCTCTTTAATAATATTTTTATTTTTTCACATTCAGTAACTTCTTGTGTTTTAATGGCTTTATTGCCATACTTGGGGTGAAATGATTAAAAAAAATTCTCATATCGATCATTTACCACTTTATAATATACCTTGTTGTTTAGCCGGTAGATTTTCTTGTGGGGTATAGGACCACTGTCTCAAGTTGCTAGGCGTTCCTACTTCGGGTTTCGTATCAAGTAAGTTTATACAACATGGAATTAGTAGCCCTACACTCAATGTTAATGTTCACCCTATACAAAGCCCAACTGACCCTGAAAGTAGAGAGTTAGTGAAGGCGATTTTTGTATACGCGATAAGGATAAGAGGTGAGAAGTGTAGTTTATAGGGATATATGTGATTTTGAATTTCCTTCTCCTCGTCTGGTTGTTAAATAAGACTAGAGAGTTTAGTCTGCATTACTATTAACCCCTATCCTTCCCAAAAGCAACTTAACGGCCTCGGCTGAAATTTGAACTCGATACGCCGGTCCCGGTTATGCTCCGTGCATAGCTTTATTATCCTTGTAACACCTCAAAATTCTAGCATTGCTGCATAAAGGTGACATAATTTCTGTTTGAATTTCTCCGATGAGGCGACAATGATCACGTGCATTAAAGCGTTGGTTTTTACGTTTGGTGACATAGTAATTGTGAGTTCAATCCCTAGGGCGGGCAGTGTGTACATGGACTAAATGGAAACGGGCGAGCAATAACTGAACAGTACTAAACAAAAATATCTTCTAAGAACTAGACGAGATCTCTAGACATGGGCAGTGAAACGAGAAGTCTCCTACCGTAGATTAAATAAAGGGTTCAGTTCAGAATTCCCTGTAGGTTACCCAGATCGATATGCACTTGAGAAAGGCCGGTGAGCACAAAAGCCGAAATGTTTTGATAACAACCTCAAAGACGAGGACAATATTCCGAGTATAAATAGTGTAAATAATGGTGACATATGCCACATTTGAGGCGATTTTGTTTTCTGCTCTCTCTCTCTCTCTTCCATTCGGCAAAGGAGATTGTGAAGAAGAAGAAGAAGAAATGAACTTAAATCAGAAAGTAAAAGAAACAGAATATTAATGATTTCTCTCCCTAATGCGATAATTATCTAAAAAGTAAACATCTTCTGAACTGTCCGCTACGTACAGTGTTCACACTATGCATATTTCTGTTTGAATTGGAAAACCGAAAAAACCACAAAGAAAAAAGAAAGAAAGAAAGACAGAAAGAAAGAAAGAGAGTAAAAAAATATAGGGGTAAAGAAAAGCGAATGGAGTGATAATGTGTGCGTTCAAAGGTGACTCCAGGTATGTATCACCAAGGGAGGGCCAAACCTACATCGCCCACACAATAAGAGACGGTCAAATAATTAGAGTTAAAACAAATCTCCACATGGGGAATTCCTGGTTTTTCCCACCAAACGTAACAATTACACCATACCATTTCGGTCTTTTTCGCAGTAAAAATAAATAAATAAACAAAAGATTAAAGAAACAGAAGGAAAAAAAAAACGCAAGCCACATTTATTAAATTTTTTCCTCGCAAAACTTATATTAAAGTTTTTTTTTTACGCCATTTTTCTGCTGAAGGCTTTGTTTGAATGTCGGTTTTCTTTGGAGATTCCCGCCAAAACGAAACAAAATACAATAAAAATAAAAGCAAAAAAAAAAAAAAGTATATATTTTTCATATGGTGCTTTATACTATTTGTACTATTTCTGCTTTTAACTTCAATATTTAACGTATTTTTCTTTATTTGTTTTAAAAATTATTTTAATATACTTTTGATTACAGCGAATATTACAGAAAGCGGTCACACAAAAGAGACATTAAAGAAATCAAAGGCTTTTACTCAGATGTCGGGAACTTTGGGGAAAATCGACACCTGTATCTTTAAGCAGAAAGTCTAGAGTAAAAAATAAATAAATAAAATGCTCTCTATTCTGTACCCCTTTAAAAAACACACCGAAGAAATATGTTTCAAGTTTTTAAGAAAACCTTTAATTTTTTTCTCTTTTCTTTCTGATCAACACAAAAACAGACGCATCCTGTTCACGAACTCCTGCGCTAAAAACTAAGATAAAGTAAATATTAAATAACAAGAGGTATCAATCATAAATTAACGCTTAGCAAGATCTAAAAAAAAAAAGAAGCTCGTTCTTAAAATAAGCTTCTCTTTTGTATCGTTGATGCTTGATTTAGCCCTGTTAATGTTTCATATGTGAGTGAACATGTGTATCATGTTGCAAATGCGTACACACGGAGAGACTCGCAGATTTGACACACTGATAAAACTTAAAAAGATTGATCGTTATCAACGAATTTAAGAGAAGCCTGTGTATTTCCAACCAGTGAAAAGGTTTTCTGTTCGAGCCTAGGTAAAACTCAGGATTTCTAATTCTGATTTAGTAATGGTAATATTAGACTCTCCCTGGATACCTCGAGGCGGTGTAATATTTAGCAAGCTTGTCTCACTAGAACAGTTACGACTAATTTGTGAGTTCGATCCTCACTGAGTGCCCAATACTTTTGGCTTTGTGTCACATCTAAGTTACACTTGGAAAATCACTATTAGACTCTTCTTATAAAGAAATATTCGACATTCATTAACCGAGCAGGTAGTGCTTATCTTTGGTTGAAATTCATAAAAATCTTTCTCTGAAAACAGTTTTTCAGGAAAATAGGTTTCTCAAGTCCAGTAGCTATTATCGCTCTTTCCAGTACTGATAGATGCTTCCTTCCTAAGCTTTCGTTTAGGAACGTCAAAATTTTGATTATGTCCTTATTATCTCCTCTTCGAGTTACATGTGCCATCCATTTTAGTTATTGAAAATCCTCAAGTGATGTGCTTTCTGTTATTTGATAGTTCTTTATGATTCTTTAGTGCCAGTACACTAGGTTCAAAGAAGGATGGTCCTCGCTAAGATCTACAGGCGTCAAAGTCCCCATTTGAATATTTGGCGTAACACGATCTGTTTGCATTCGCACTCTCTCTCATCATTTCGCCTTGTGCCATATCATGCTAAGCTTAAAAGTCATGTGTTCACAACTAAAACAATAAACAGACAGCCTGTAGATTTAAAGTTTGGTTTCAGATGCGAAATCGCCTAAGCTGTTGTTATGAGAAAGACAGCTGATATCGGGGCATGAGAGGTTGCACTTTGTCAAATTAATATGCATTCGAAAAATTCCAGTTTAAATACGGCAACTATGCTGAGCTGACCTTAGTTACAGTTTGGGGGAGAGAGCATATAATCTGGCGTGATCAACGGTTGAAACAAATGCCAGTACGCGCAAACACTCCAGAACTTGTGACTCTGCACTAGCACAAGCATCGATGGGATTCTGAATAATGCTGTCTTCCCAATTTCATTCACAAAGCTTGAGTCAACAAGTGGCATGGTTTTCAGGCTCCCTCCAACAGTCACACACTGGGAACACCGATATCAAGGAGAAATCCCTTCCTTGACAAAATGACCATGATCGGAGATCAAATGTTTTAATCACTCGGCCACGCGCTCATACATACATACATACATACATACATACAGAACATAGAGAGAGAGAGAGAGAGGGAGAGAGAGAGAGAGAGAGAGAGAGAGAGAGAGACCCTTCCATAATATATTAACATCGATAGCATTAATAGAAGATGATATATTAACATCGCAATACCTTCCTCTTTTTTTTTAGAATGTGAAAAATGAAATAGTTTTAACAATGTAAGTGTCAATCATTTTGATTGATTCATTTTTTACGTCTTATCAACACTTTGCAGGTTCTTTAAAATCAGAAAATACTCTTTGGTTTGTAAGAATCTATTTTTTGAGATAATAACTGTTTAGTGATACAAGTCTTACTAATTAATCCATAGCTGGGGAGAAGAGGTGGATTCATACCTTTTCCAAGGATATTTGTGCGTAAGTGTATATAACGAACCCAACGGGTATTGTTACTCGGATCTCCGATTAACAATTCCGAGCCATTATCCATTATACTACGCGCATATCCAAGCTTACAGTACTTGGTATTCCTAAGTAGTCACCCATCTAGGTACTGGCTAGGCTTGAGGTTGCTTCACTTCAGTGATTTAATGGGAACCGTTGTTTCAACGTGATATAGACATAAGTCTTCGACTCTTTTGTACCAGAAAAGCAGTTGGTCATTATGAAGACTTATGTATAGATATATTATTATTATATACTAATCTTTATAAGCTCTATATATCGGTATAGATTTAGATAAATCAAACGACTAGATATAAGAAAGCGTTTATGTGTGTGTTGGCGTGTACAAGTAAGCAAATAAATAATAATCAAATTTATTCACGAGGTGTAAACATAACTGTTCTCGATGTGGTTAGACAGCAAAGATATATATTAATAAATATACATATACCTACGTTTTTGGTGTGCGACTTGAGTTTCGTTGGTTTTCCAGCTCATCGGACACAAAGTATATCTTATGTTTTTATAAAAATGCACAGATGTCACATGGGAGGAACGTTGCTTCATAGACCAAAAATAAAATAGTACAAAAGGTGCAGGAAATGAGGGGCAGATAGTGTTCATTAAAAAAATAAAAATAAAAAATAAATAAGGAAAAAAATAGAAATTTAAAATTTACAAGGTGATTGAAAAATAACTCCTTGTTTTATGTATGATAGACTTTCTGATCTTGCAAAAATTATTGTTCGACGGGAGAGTCCATCATACATAAAATGGGAATTACTTTTCAATCACCCTATATATATATATATATATATATATATATATATATATATATATATATATATATATATATATATATATATATATATTATATTTTTTTAGCTTGCTTGCTAGATAGATATGGAAGCCAGATTAAGCAGAAAGAGTTGATATTTTGAGGAAACTTTATGTAGTAAAAGTTAATTTCGTGATTATTATTATTATTATTGGATATATGATAAAACCGTTCAGGAAGAGAGAGTCCTTCTGGCCGAAGTAAGCTTGTAAATTAGTTTGAAAATAGCATACGATCTCCAATTTTTAGGCAATTCTTCGAAATCCAGAGGGTGGTGTTAAACTTTTGGCTCATAGTCAATATTTAAAATACATTTAAAAGAAATCTTTTTTCTTTAAACTTTTTCATCTTAGTATTTGCCATGTGGGTATTGCAGATTTAATACAAAACTAGTGAATTACTTTTAACTGAAAAAGAATGTCATTTAGTTTCTTATAAAATGTTAGAAATGAAAAATAACTTTGTGAAATATGAATCAGGCTGAGTTTAATTTCCCCCTTTTTATTCTTAGTTTTTTTTTTGTTTTTTTTTTAATGCTGTGTCCTTAGATTTCATTTATCTAACGAATTCAGTAATTATTTATTTTCTAAACGGAGATTTATTTATACGTTGCTGTTATAGTTCTATGTTGTACCAAATTGAAAATGTCTTGTTTTGGTAAGATCGTAATATAGAACCACGACACTACATAGATCTATAAAAAATGTCAGGGATCCATTTTAAACCATGTCGATATAATGAGCAGGACCCTCCTCTAAATCGATAAAAACATCAATATTTTTAAATTGTGACAAATGTCGTGGCTTAAAGTCTAATGAATGCTAATCTATAAACATTATTCCCCGAAATATTTTGCCTATTTTTACTAGTGGACGACTCTATTTAAATAGTACCCGAACCACAAAATTCAGCCAAGTTGGTATCCACGTCTGCCTTTTAGAGGTATTCTCATCTGATTTCTTAATTACATACTAAATTTATTATTGTTGTTCTTGTTTACAGCATTTGGGTGTTGCATATTTTATAATTACAATTTTATCTTCTAAGATTAGTCGTAGTGAACAAAGTGTCTGTAATGAGTTCGATTATCCCTGGGTAACCCACAACTGTGGCTTTGTAGCGTATTAAGCTAAGGTGTTGTGATTTTTGTTTGCCTAACCACCTCGAACCGACTGACGCGAGAATGTTCTTTTGCTCTGACGCCGCTAGTAAAATATTTCATTGATATGACAGCACACCTTGACAGTTCCGGTAATAACTTATGTTGCACTGAAAATAATGCAATTTCATTTTCACGCTTTGGTAACGAACTATAGTTAGACATATTTTCACAAGACGGTGCTATTTGTACCTCCTGCTGGTAAAGCAAATCGGAGAGAACATACGGGCATTCAAAATGGCGGCGCTCATAGATAAGCTTTCAGTAAAAGTTATGCATATACCTCAGAAAAAGTTCCTGATGCTTTTACATATTCTGGTTTGTATTAGTCTGGTAGTTAATTTGATACTAATTGAAGAGACTTTAACAATATGGGGTGGGCAAACTACTACCCGTGGGCCGCATGCCAACCATCTGATGCTTTTCTGCTACCCGAAAAAGCACAGCAAATATTATTTTTTTAAATGGTCGTTAAAAAAATAAAAATAAATTTAAAGAAATATATATATATATATATATATATATATATATAAAGGGTGTTTCATTAAGACGGATCAAACTCAGCAGTAAATAAATCAGTATTATTGGCGAAAATTTATTTATTTCTCTATTAGATCATGTTATTTAAGTCATGGCAATTATGTGTAAAAAATAATATCTCCCAAATGTCTGCCAATGCTTCAGCAGCACACCTCCACTCGATGGTGAAAATTTTTGATGCCGTCTCTGCATAGTTGCTCCTTGATCTCACCAATATGCCTTATTATCTTATCCTTTATCTGTTGAATTGTTGTTGGCTTGTTGGCATAGACCTTACTTTTGATATGACCCCAAAGGAAGAAATCTAAAGGCGTCAAGTCGCACGATCGTGGTGGTCAAATGACTTCGCTGTTTCGAGAGATGATGCAACCTGGGAACTTCTCATTCAAATACTGTTTGAACAGCCATATTCGTAATAGGCTTCGATAACGTTAACACGTTGTTTGAAAACGTCCAGCACATGCGTCCATCTCATACCATAGCAATCTAACCAGAATCTAAACAATATTCTTTAAAAAAAGGCAACTCTTGAATATTACTCGGTCACTTTACTTTTTGAAAGACTTTGAATTATGACACTGTGTGCTCTCCACAAGCTTTGATTGACTTTTCAAGCAGCTGATGAACATTCATGAACATTCTTAAATTCAGAAGCCTTGATAAATCAATGACATCCTCGCCTTTTATATAAACATGTACATAAATAAATACTACATTGCCTTAATAAAGTCCCTCGGAGGGCGAAACACGTCGGCTAATAATAATTTTTCTTCTTATCTCTTTATGTGTATATATATATATATATATATATATATATATATATATATATATATATATATATATATATATATATGTGTGTGTGTGTGTGTGTGTGTGTGTGTGTGTGTGTGTGTGTGTGTTTGTGTGTGTGTGTGTGAATTACATAAAATGAAACTCTCACTCCATTCATTCCAATTATATTATTCATTTATATGCTTTATAACAAATATATTGAGTTTTCCTTTGTGGATCAGTTTTAACATTTTATTAGTACCTACTTGGATTATTTACCCATGGATTTTTACATATATATATTTATATATATATATGTAAAAAAATATATTTTATATATTTACATATATATTTTTTATATATATATATATATATATATATATATATATATATATAACGAACCCCAGTTATCAGTCTTTTGGTACAAAGTCAGGATATCGCATTGTGTACTACTACAGACAACTGGATCGCTGCATCCCACACTGTGCCAATGCCAGTACCCAAACTAAACTGACTCAGGGATCTAAGTACCTCTATGTACTCCAAGTAGATATAAACATGTGGCATCATTTCCACGCTTCGCTATAAAGCTCTCACGGGATTTACCGAGAATTTTATATCATTGTAAATAATTTTCCAACTGCACAAATCCCTTAATAGGAAAAATTGTCTTAAGTATTAAACTAATTTTTCATACATTTGCGTAATCCGATAATAACATCAAATATAATCAAATAAATGTACAAATAACATACACATATATGATTGTTATTTTGAAAATCGGCATATAGTATCAAAGGTACCTGGATCGCTACGTACCATGCTCTACCAATATCATCGAAGTTAAGCAACGTCAAACCTGGTCAGTTCCTTGATGGATGACAGCTTGGTAATACTAGATGCTGTAAGAAATGGATGTGCGGTAGTGTAATGAGTAACAGCACAGGATTGATATTCGGAGAACCGAGTTCCAATTCCAGTCGGCTTAGTTATATTTACTTATGCGCAAATACCCCATGGAAATTTATGAATCCACGTCTTCTCCCCTTTGCTATAGTTTAATTAGTAAGAATTGTATCACTAATCAATTATTATCTCCCCAAATAAAATTCTTATAATACTTACAATTTTCCGGCTTTAAATAATCTGCAAATGGTTGATAAGCCGTAGACAACGAATCAAACTAACAAATCTTAGTAACTGTTATTTTTGGCGTTTTATATATTAATGTTTACCTAATACAAGGCCCAAGAGCCATTCAAGGTAGAAGGTTACTGTGTGCTGTTGTATGAGTGTAAAGAAAAAAAAAAGGCAAGAAGTGAAGTTCATGAGGTTATGTAGATTAACTTTAGATGTGAATAAGTCAAGTTTGTAATGATTGGGAAAACATCCTGTCAGGAGTCTTGTTTCGCAAAACTCCTTGGGAACTTACTCCTTACTAATGGAATATAAAGGGAATGTGGATGATTCACTCTGGTGTACGTGGCATGGCGTGTCCCAATTGTAAAGGTCAGGGCTGATAGAACCAAGGAATGTAGCTCGTCAGAACACATGCCATAGAAATAGCGATAGAATGACAAGAAAATTTTGTTTGTTTATGGGCCATTTAATGCCTCAAATTAATTTTCGTGGGAGCATTAGTAATTTATTTTACAAAAATATATTGCTGGCCATTTTTTTTATTTTATTTTCCTTTTTTTCTTTTACAAAAATGCTGGTCTTTTTCTTTTTCAAAAAATTATTTTTGGTAATTTTTATTATGAAAATACATTGCTGGTATGAAAATGTGTTTTTATACTTTCATAGTGTTTGACCCAAGAATGGGGGTTAACTATTCGCCCTTAGTTGGGAACCTAACAGGTGCTACCACCCATAGTCAGGGTGGACCTGGGAACAACATCAATTAAGAAGTGGTTCCACGTGCCTCAAAACCACCCAATCAGAGGCCTTGCTGCCGGATGTAGTTTGTCGTCATACCCAGGACGAGTGAGAGGTTTGCAACGTTTCATTTCGGGGAGAGAGGTTGTAGAGTGGGAAATAATTTATCATTCACAAGAACGCGTAGATGCTTTTGAACTCTGTTTGATATACTAAAATTAACTCTCTTGCACTGGCAATACGAAATGGCAGTATCTATTTTATAACAGTGATAGACTATAAGATAATTTACACAGCTTGGAAATCGAAAGCGATCAAGTGAAAAAAAAGCACAACAATAATTGTAAAAATATCATAAGAATAAGGACTTGTTATGGCAGGGATAAAGGAATATTAATATAACATCATACTGAACATAAAGTGGGGGATCAATTTTATATTGTTCTCAAGTTTATTAAATATTAAACTAAGTTGTCATATATTTGCGCGGTCTGTTCATAAAATGTCCATTAAGTAAATAAATCTACAAATAACATGCTCACTTACGATTGCTACTTATAAAGTCGCTTATGTGTCCTTCCACGAAAAAAAAAGAAGTCCACCCCTATTATTGTTAATGATGAACACAGTGAAAACGATGATAAATTTCTAATGTGATTTTTGTCCGATATGACGTTTCATTGACATTAACAGTATCTAGGAATCTCGATGGGAAAAAGTAATCATTTTCACTGAAAACTTTTAAATACATAAATAAATTGCGTGGATACTTCGACGTGATCTCCTACAGAAGGTAGCGACGGAGAGTGTGAAGAAGGGACTAAGCATAAACTACAAGAAAACAGAATGCATTGTCATCAGTAAAAGGATGAGCCGGAAATGCGATTTGCAGGTCGGGAATACTAGAATCAAGCAGACGCTGAAGTTTAAATATTTGGGAAGCGTTCTGACAGACGACGGTAAATGCGACACTGAGATCCGTAGACGTATTGGGATGGCCAAGGATGCATTCCAAAAACTGGGCAGAGTATTGTGAGACAGGAGGATTTCTTTGGTAACGAAGAAAAGAATACTGTGCTGTTACGTAACACCTGTCCTTCCTTACGGCAGCGAATGTTGGACGATTTCCTCAAAGATGAAGAAGAGACTCGAGGCGACGGAGATGTGGTTCTTCATAAGGATGCTAAGGATATCATGGACCAAGCGTGTGAGCAACGATGAGGTTTTAGAGAGGATGCAAACAAGGATGAGGCTTATACTTAACACCAGGAAGAGACAGCTGAAGTTCCTGAGACATATAATAAGGAATGGAGGTTGGAGAATCTGATACTCACGGGTCGAATAGAGGGAAAGAGAGAGACAAGAGAAAACAACGCATGGCATACATGACGGCCTTAAGTTCATGCAAGTTGAGTTGGAGTCCCAGTTTTCCAGAGTTTCCAGTTCGCAGTTGAAGTGGGTCCGCCTCGCATTAGCTGACTTGAAAGATTCGCACAACTTCCGAACTCATCTTCAATCCGAGAACAATTTATTTTTGAAGAGCGACTTACATTCATACCACCAAAACAAGTTTTACGACTATCGCCTGAAGACACACCAAGAACCAGTTTCTTAAAGAACAGACAACTTAAGATGTTAAAACACACCTAACAAAAACAACGTGTCACGAATCCATATAGCGGGTCGGGAGATAGACGCAGTCCTATGTATCCAGCAACCAGATATAAAGTATTGTTATCTTTTTTTGATACCTTTGAACTTTTGAGTTATTATTTTATTTTATTTTACACATATTTGTGCGATACCACCCTTAATTGAACTCAACTTGCATTACGGCCCCGACGACTGATTGATTTCGTCTGCCTAAGATCAATTCACAACGTGGGTAGGCGGAGTGGAGATCAACGCAGTTACTTCGGTAACCAGACGTTGGAAGCAAGTTGGGAACGACGAGGCTGATGTCGAATCTAACCAGATTCCCATCCGAATCACCAAAAGGTTAGAACGTCACATTTGGGTGTCGCGACCAATACCAAGCCAGTTGGTCGTCACAGGACGGGACAACACGACTGACGCAGACCGGCAGACGTCACGTCTGAAGCGGCGACACCCGAACGAAGCAGCGAGGAACGAGCAAGGCTGGGGGACGTCACAGAGGTAACAGGTAGACATAATTTAATAAAAGCTGCAAAGGACAGGACATTGTGGAGAGCCATGATCGCCAACTTCCTGATGGGACGCGGCATATAAAAGAAGTAGTTTTATCACACGTTGTATTAATGAATAGTCATATTGGACATTTCAGACTTTCTTTTTCATTATTATCATACGCCCATCTTTTTCTACCTGTAAGCTTTCTTCCAACCCTAAACTTCGTCATTAATTTTAAATTTTCCGATCACTTCCTTTATGAACGGAAATCATCCAGTTAACCTTGGCCTGTGGTTCCGGCAGTCGCGAGATATTTAAGTGGGGAGTGTGAAAAGCAAAGGAATAACTAATTAATTAGGTGTTGGTTAAGACGTGAGGGAAAATGAAGGGAAAATTTGAAAGCGAAGAAAGAACAAATACAAAGTAGAGAAGATAAATGTGGAGATTAAGAAAAAAAAGGGAAGAACATCGAGGAAATGAAAGAAAGGAAAGAAAATGAAAAAAAAAAAAAAAGGCGTGGACATATGAAGAGAGAGAGCGAGAGTAGTGTTTGTGGCTATACGTGTGTGTCATTATGAAGAGGCGTCAAGTGTGAAAAAGGTGTTTCAATCTATATGAGGGAGTGGGGGAGAGAGAAACGGAAGCTATAGAGAATGCACGTGCGTTGAAAAAAAAGAACTGAAAAGGGTAGAGAGAAATACACAAGGTGATGATGAAAAGTTCTCGGACCGACCATGGTTCGTCGAATGAGCCGAGAACTTTTCAGCACGCCTGAGTGACTGAGCAGAGAATAAAGAGAGAAAAGTGCGTGAAAAGCAAAAGAATAAATAAAAACAAAAGCAGATAGGAAGAATTAAAAAGACCGATAAAGAAAGAAAGAAAGAAAGAAAGAAAGAAAGAAAGAAAGAAAGAATAAGAAAAGAAGATAGTATGTGAACGACTGAAAAAGAAAAGAGAAAGAAAAAGAGTGAAGGAAAAAAGAAGAGAGAGAGAGAGAGAGAGAGAGAGAGAGAGAGATAGAAATACAGAAAGAGAAAAACAAAAAAAGGGAAAGAACAAGAGAAGTACAAAGTCATTGAGAAAAGAAAGAGTGTGAAACGAGAAAATAAAAAACGAGGAGAGAAAGTAAGAGACAAACAAACAGTCAGAAAAAAGACAAAGAAAAGGAAAGAAAGAAAAGCAAAGAGCTTAAGATAGATAGATAGATAGATAGAAAGATAGAAAGATAGAAAGACAGACGTAGAAAGACTTGGTGGTTTTCATAGTGTCTCAACAAGCAAAGAGATTGAACAAAAACCAAAAATTAAAATACAAAGAAAAAAAAAAACCCAAAACAAAAACAAAAAAATACAAACCCCAGAAAGGAGGGGGTAGGTGAAAAGACGAACAAGCCAAAGAGAGCAGTGACAAAATAAAAACAAAACAACGACAACGACAAATAGAGAAAGGTGAGAAGGATTTAAAAATAGTGTAGGAGGGGTGCGATAAAGGTTGGGGATCAAGGGATGGGGGAGGTACCGCGTCATTTGTTATTAGCGTGGGCCTCCGCACGTGCCACTTGCTTCCGTGGCGATCACAGCGCTCGCGCGTGGTTGCCCGTCTTCAACAATGAAGTCAGGCGAGTGTTAGATTTATGACGAGCACAGAACGGCGAGCAGCCAGCGGCTGACTGGCACCAACTGAGGTGAAGTTGACTTGGAGAAGAGATTGAGAGGGTGAAGGACTCTTTCCACTGGAAAACATGTGTAACTATCAGCCCCTTTTGTATGTGTGTGTGTGTGTGTGTGTATGTGTGTGTGTATGTGTGTGTGCTTGTGCGCGCACGCACACATATGCCCAGTTTTGTCGAAGTTGTCTTTTAATTTAATAGAAAATAAAAAAATGCAACACCGAAATCCGAGCGTGCATTGGAATAGCGAAAGATATCTTCCAAAGCTAAGAAACAGGAAAATTTTGTTAGAAACAAAGAAAAGATTGATGAACTGTTTATGTAATATCAGTTTTTCTATAAGGCAGTAAATGCGATAGGAGCCTCCTGAAACTAAGCAAGGTATTAAGAAACAGGAAAATTTCGTTAGAAGCAAAGAAAAGCTAGATAAAATGTTATGCAATATCAGTCTTTCTATATGGTAGTAAATGCGATAGATGGCTTCCAAAAGCTAAGCTAGGTATTAAGAAACTGAATAATTTCGTTAGAAACAAAGAAAAGCGTGATAAACTGTTATGTAATATCAGTCTTTCTTTATGGTAGTAAATGCGATAGTTGAAATTTCTGGATGCATAATGAGGAAAGAGGGCTTAGAGAATTTGACAATCACAGGACATATCAAAGGTAAAAAGAAAAACAGGAGGCAGGGGTCATTTATGCGGCAATCTTGTGAGAATAGATGGTAGGGCGTGGGTGAGAAGGATAACAAAAAAACAAACGTTACTAAGAAATACACGAGATAGGGAATCATGTACAGACATGATCGTCCACGTCCTGAAAGGACACGGCATATAGATGAAGTCTTCTATTTGTTGGAGAGTAAGGTCACTGGACCAGAACTCACGATTAATTTCCGTTTTATGTAAGTACCGCTACAGTTGCTATTTAGCAACAAATCTTTTCCAAGATGTAACTAAATTATTATTTTTGTTTCAGATTTTCAGATGAGTTAGTAATCATACTTATTATAAAACCCATGTTGTGTGTGTGTGTGTATGTATCTGTACGTTTATATATTGGATCGGATTTCCTACATTTTTCAAACGATTTCAACAAAACTTCACTTTTTTTTGGCAGGTAGTGTTTCTTATTGTCTTGCACACTTTTTTCTTTATTTTTACATTCAGAATGCTTTAAAAATTCCATTTACAAGACAATTGTTTATAATAAAATTCTATTCAATCGGTAGACTCATAACGATTGAAAACAATGTTTTGTTTGAGTTTGGATTTGACCAATTCGTAAAAAAACAAAAACAAAAACAAAACAAAACAAAAAAAAAATAATTAAGACATGCGTGTCCGTCAACCTTAAACAATAATCTTTGTCAATTTTATTTTTCAGTCTTTATGATGGTCGATACTTGATCTATCTCTTACTGTTACATCCCCGGGCAACGCCGGGCTCTATTGCTAGTATTTAATAATATTTTAACTGCCTTTCACTGACTTTATTTTAAAAATTTTTTAGGCACAACATATCGGCTGGTCCGTTCTTCGGCCTTCAAGTAATGTCTTGGCGAGGTTATTCTGACCCTGTCATGTCAGCTTTCGGATCTAATAACAGTTGTGGATATGATTCTCCTTCTTTTATGTATCGTTTTCCTTTAAGACATGGATGATTATGAGTACGCGCAACGTAGCGCTAAGCAATGTTTGTCCTCTTACAATCCCTCCCAACCCCTATTCTATAATCTATTTTTACAAGATCGCTGTTTCCCTCTGACCCACTTACCTTCAATATGTCCTGTGAGTGTCAAATACTCCAAGGCTTCCTTCCTCATGGATTCCAGAAATTTCAACTCTCTTTTTCTGATCCTAAACATAAGTGTGAAATTTTATTCCTTATATAAGGAACCGATCACTTTTTTTCCAGCGATGTATTGTATATATGAGTTTCACTTTAAGTCAGGGGTGATCTTTAGCCCTAAGAGACGCTAAAAGAAAGAAGTCTCATTGAGAATGCAATCATTGATCGTGACTGAGGATTTTCGCATGTTGGCGATTCTTAACTACAGGATATCAGGTAGATCGTATTTCAGAAATATATACTTTTCTTTCTAAGTAGTTATAAATAACATCTATATTGTTCATTTCTAACCATAATCTTTAAACATATTTTCCTTTATTTCGTACATATAATGTTACACATTTGCATGAACGTCTTGGAGTACAAAGCTCAGCCAATGTTTAATGTAAGGACAAGGACAATGCTAAGTTTAAATGTTAAGCTTTAAAGAATTTTGCTTTTTTTAATTTTCATTTTAAATACACATTTTTGCTGTTCGTTTGTATCTATTTTATGAAATGAGAAATTTTTATAACAATTAAAAAAGGGTGTTAATCAGCTATTTTAGCAAAACAAAAACAAAAACAACCAAAAAAAAAAAAAAAACTCTTTTCAGCCAATTTTAATTGGTTTTTGAAATACAGCAAACTATTTTGCTTATTGAAAATATTAAATTAAATCTATTAGCTTGGAATTAAAGCTGAAATTGGGAAATATTGAAAAGTATTCATCCGATCCATTTACTTCTAATCTAATTAAACTTTAACAGTTTTTAAAAGCACATTTTGGTTGAGTCGAGGACATTTGAGCCCCCTATTTTCTTATCTTTCAAATATATTCGATTAAATGCAGCCTTCCGTTCATTATCATATTAGATTCTATTTAAAGAATCTATATAATTATTTGTAAAAGTTAATTATTAATGAGTTTAACTATCATCAAATATTATTAAAGTATCAGTACTGGTATACAACTAAGGCTGATGGATTAGAGTGCAGACAAACCAATAAAACGGAGTCTGTAATTTATAGACCTGCAGTTATATCACTTGAAGAAATATGTGAATTTATATCTGTCTATATTTCTGAGATGAGGTATTATGTACATTATTTACATTATTCGGACTATTGTCCTCATCTTTGACGCCATATTTATTACGACGTTTCGGCCGTTGTACGCTCCGGCCTTCTTCAGGTGGTTGGAATGTCGAACTGAACCCTTTATTTCGCTCACTGGGGTAGACTGTTCTAGTTTCACGTGCCATATTTAATGGATGTCCCGTGCAGCTGCGGAAAGAAATATAAAGGAGAGACAGGCCGCTCCTTCAAGGTAAGGCTTCAAGAACACCAGAAAGCTGTAACACGAAGGGAAGTGGAAAAATCAAGCGTGGCTGACCACATATGGAGAGAGAAGGGTGATCACCGCCCTCTGTGGGATCAAGTTGAAATCATAGACAAGGAACACCATTGGAAAATTCGTAAACTTAAAGAATCAGTACATATGCTAGGCCACAAAAATTTCCTGAGCCGATCAAGCATAGAAATAAATACAATATGGGAACCAGTAATAAGGAGTGCCAGAGAAAAGTGATAATAACAACAAAGTTGCAATATGAGCTCTGGTAAAAACATGGATTGATAACAGCAAAAATTGCAATATGAGCACTGGTAAAAATGGTTGCTGAAGACATTAGGTTTATAATACCCAGAAATTCATGCACAAGGACACATAGCACAGTGGATAAAGGCGTTGGTTAGATCTAGTTACAAGACCTAAAGAGTCTGAGTTCAATACCCAGTTAAGGCAATGGAGAACTTTCAGAGGGAAAATTAACAGGAGATAACTGACATCCATTAAACATGGCACGTGGAACTAGAACAGTTCAAAATAAAAATGCGAAATAAACAGTTCAGTTCGACATTCCAACCACCTGAAGAATCCTGGAGCGTACAACGGCCGAAACGTTGTAATAAATATATTAATAATAATATAAATATATAAGGTGAGGACAATAGTCCGAATAATGTAAATAATGTGAATTTATACTTCATAGAAAAAAATAGTCGGTAAGCATATGAAACTAAAATTGCTTTATTCTCAAAGTTAAAACATTGAAACACACGATCATCTAGAAACCAGATTATTATCATGAAAATATAAGTTCAATGTTTCACCAAAATAGTATAAACAATTTTTGGTGCTACCTTCTGAGTATGATCTACCAGAACATCGCATTACTAAAGTTTGTCATCTCCGAGTAGAGAAAATTCTCTACATTAAAATATAGATTAAAATAGATATGTACGGAATAAGACAAGGAAAAGAAGTAGTCTTTATTTAATATACTAAACAAATAATACTATATGATAAAAAAAACTAAAGGAAATTATTATTTTAACTAATGTTAAATAAATAATTTAAATACTAGAGATCATTTTCTTTAAGGTAGATCACATATTTCAGAAGAATCATGCACATAAATCACATTTAAGAAAGGTTCAATTTTTGAATAAAAATTTGATTTTTAACTAATCTTTCTGCTTCGTTATTCAGATGCATCTTGGACACTTCGACGTGGCATCATGTTCAGCAAGCTTGTTTCACTAGATCAATTACGAGTGAGTTCGGTCCTCACTGTGTACCCCTTACTTGTGGCTTTGTATCACATCTAAGCTACGCTTATTAAATTAATTTTAATTGCATATTAATTTTTCCCTACTGTCTATTTTAGCATATTTCTCAATATTTATCCAAGTAGGTTCTTACTCCAGTGATATTCATTATTTTAATGTATATCTGTTTTTTTCTATGTTATTTTTCAGAGACCGAAACCTTTTCTCTTTTGTTAAATAACGATTGCCAAATAGACTCTATCTGGACTCTGGAAACTTTTGATTCATCTAAACGCAATAAAACACACACAAAAGAATTATACAGGCGCGTTTCCCTATTCGAATTTTTAAAATTTATTCTACCATCCTATTTTCGCAAATTTTTCTAAGCCGACATTCACAGTCAACCTGGTCAATATTTCATTAGAAAACAAACGCTTCGATAAGTGGCTGAAACAAAGTCACATATTATCTTTTAAAGATTTCGTTTCTTTGTTTGAGATTCATTTTCTTATTCTTCTTCGGCCGATTCTTTGATAGTTTGTAACACTGTTTCTCTTTGCTTGTTTCTTGCTAATCACAAATCTTTCGTTCAGTAATATCCACGTGCGTTTGCATACGCGCGGCCATGTTTGCCTGGTCCTTTCATTATTAGCTGGCAATTTGTCGCGATTTATTTTCTGACTTTCTCTTTCTAAGCCTCCTCAGGTGGGTGACGATAAATCTTAACTCACCTCAACTGTTCCCAAATCTTTTTTTTTCTTTTTTTTTTTGTATCCCGGTCTATTCTTTACTCTTCTTTTCGTCCTCCCCGTCTCTACATTTATCCCTTCTCCCGTCCCTGCACTTTTTATTCCGGATCGCCTTCCTCGGTAAAGAATGAATACGCGTCACAAAAGAATTGCAGTGAAGAATGGTCGTTTGGCAAGTGTTTCGGTGCTCTGGGTAACGACAGGAAATCCTGGTACAACGCTGAGAAACAACTACGATTAAGTGCTTGCTAAATATGTCCATGAAAGCGTTGACACTGTAGAGTTGTTGAACATTTCATCAAACACGAATTATCAATTGCTTGAATTGTTACAAAAACAACAAGGAAAAAAAAACACAACAACCTTTACACAGTTGTGTCTTAAAATTCGATCATTTTAAAAATATAAATAGAAAAGTAATCTTTTCGTATTTTGTATCGTTCAATTAAAGTCTAGAATCTGGGTCATAATTTGCCTGCGTGAAAAAGAAAGAAAAATTGCTAAACCTTTAATTTTAACTTTCTGAAAGAAAACACGTTAATTCCAGAACAAAGAACTTGGGAAGATTTTTAGCTGCAATATCATAATAGTAATCCAAAATTGTTCTGACGGATGTATTTGGATAGTGATTTTCCAAGCCTAGCTTAGATGTGGCACAGGGCCGAATGTAGGGGGCACCCAGTGAGGATCGAACTCACTAATCAGTCGTAATTGTTCTAGCGAGAAAAAAGCTTGCTATCCATTACACTGCCTCGAAGATTTGGATACGTTCTAAAACCAGATGTAGGGAAAAAATATCTTTCAGAAAAGACCAATTGTTTACGTATTGAAATAAGAGTGAATAGCTGACTTCATCTAAAGGGTTTTGTCAGAGTAAAAAGAAACAACAAACACCCCCACAAATGGGAATATATATCTGAATATATATTTCGAAAAAAAAAATGTATTTGAAAATATATTATCTATATCTATCATTCTCAAAATGTGTGTGTGTGTGTGTGTGTGATCGGATATTGTTTATGCATTTCCACAGTTTTCATCCGCTTTCGATGATTTTTTTTGTTTGATAGATAATTCTTTAGTACAGGTTTTGAATCCAAATTGTTGTCGACAATGGCGCTCCACTACTTCCTGCTTATTATAACTCTCAGCAACGGTTTACTATTTACTATCTGTTCTATATATATATATATATATATATATATATATATATATATATATATATATATATATATAGATAGATAGATAGATAGATACGCCTAGTGAGCTAGACAAACCTACCTAGGTTTCACCTAAACCTTGTTTACTCGTATCGGGGTTTTTTCTTTGGGCTTCAGACCTGCATCTGTGCGATTTTTTGTCGACAGAAGTTCATGTTTGTAGCTCTTTCTTTTTTTAAAACCTTTTTTCCCTCGAGATTAATTTGATTAGCAAATCAAAAATTGAGGGTTTTTCGAAACGAGTCTAGTTATCTATCTATATATATATATATATATATATATATATATATATATATATGTGTGTGTGTGTCTTTCATAAAAACTTTAATAAAAAATAAATAGTTTAAATTATTACAATAATATTATTTAATATTATACAGCTCCCTTTTCAGGACCACCCCTTCCCATTCAAAATTTAACCCCTCATTTGGGGATGTGCCTCAGTTGCACCCAAATGTTGTGACTAATATTGATTTTCGGGTGTGTTGACTTTAGACTTAAACTGCTCCAATTGAACGGCAAAAATGTAATGAAAGACCCGGTCAAAGATAGGTTATACTGCTAGTAAAGGATATATATAAATTTTACCCCGCCATTTTACGCTTACGAATTATGGATCCGATTGTAGACTTTTATCAAAAAGGTCTGAATAGCTCCTTTTTCCATTTTTTTGTTTTACATAAACTTTTTACTAGTCGAAGAAATTAAGCAGTCGTATAGGATAGACCCAGCGCCGCATTGTGGTTCATAAGCTGCTCCTGTAGATTATTACAATTGAATAGTGAGTTACTTACTCACTGGTCTCCTGAACAAATATCGAAGGGCTATTAAATAAGTAAGTGTGTGTGGGCGGGGGAGGCGTGCGTTTTAAAAAATTAAAAAGTTCGTACTTTCCTTTTCGAAGATAAAAAATGGGGGTGCTAATGACGACGATATACCTGTTTGTAGAGAAACAAAAAAAAAACTCTTCTTCTTCAGTGTACTTTACCGCTCGGATACGAAAACCCCCAGTGAGGCTCGATTTTTCCTTTTTAAAGAAAGTACATTTCCTCACCAAGCTATTTTTCTCGGAAGCCCATATCTATAAAAATTAATCCATTAATTCTTTAAAGATTGGTCTGTACCTCTGTATATAACTCCTTGGAAAGAATTAAAAACTTAGACATGTTTTCTCACTTGTAAAAAATTATAGATTTGCTTTTTAAACCACCTGCAAGTTTTAACAAGCAAATAAAGTAATCCACTGCTTATCTTCATCAGTGGTTCGCTAAGATCTGAAATTCATCTTAAATTTCAGTTTTCGGTAACTACTCTACTAGATACTAATGATAACACAATAGCTCGTATATTTATATGCTAGAGCGATAAATTGACGTTTTATTTTAAGAATGTTTCAAATAGACATGGCAAAATTAATAACTTTTCATCTTGTAGAAGCTCATTAGAAATTTATCATTTTTTTCCTCTTTTCATTTCTTTTTACAAATACGCAGGGATAATATTATAAATAACAAATCCGGCATTTAAGATACATTTTCAGAAAGCGTTACTATTGATCTATATTTTCTAGCTTGAAAATTAGAGGAAAAAAGAATGGTCGTTCACAAATATTCTAATACAGTAATGCAGTTTTATTTTATTTTCTTCTTGCCACAAATGATTCTCAGCTGTTTTTTCATTTCTAACCAAGATTCAGTTATTCTGTTGGTTGTATAAATTGCAAACTTAATTTCTACTTTATTGTTTTTGTTCAGTTTTTTTTGTCAAGACTTTCATAAAATCATGACGCAATTAAATAAAAGAATGACTGTATATATATATATATATATATATATATATATATATATATATATATATATATATATATATATATATATATATATATATATATATATATATATATATATATATATATATATATATATATATATGTGTGTGTGTGTGTGTGTGTGTGTGTGTGTGTACACATTTTGAAAAATTAACTGTGTCATATAATTCTTATTACTATCATTATAAGAATTATATGACACGGTTAATTTTTCAAAATGTCTGTGTAGTATATATATATATATATATATATATATATATATATATGTGTGTGTATGTGTGTATGTGTGTAATGCACAAGTTTATGTTTTTCTTTTGAATATAAAATTTTTATGAAATCTTGTGTAGAATCTTTCTTTAAGCTCTAAGCTGATATCACATAGATATCACATAGATCTCATAGTCATGTACAACAGTTTCAACCATCAGTTTTTCTGATTGGTGTATGATATTATCTATCAGAATTGCGATTGCAACCCCATAATGTTTTGTCTCCTCGTGGGTATTCAAAACTAATTAAATATTAAATAATGGAATCACAACCATCTCAACGCACCTCTTGCATACAGACAATATCAAGGTTTGCTTAATGCATAAGGGCTCGGAATTGGAAATCGTAAATCGGTTTCCAATTCAAGTAGATTTCATTATATTCACTTACACTCAAATGCTGTACTGCCCCGCTATGAGTTAATTAATATATAGGTGTACTCACTAAAAATAACGTTATTTTTAGTGAATACACATAACTGAGTTGCTATCCATATTTATATTTTCTTAAAAAGTAAAAACAGGCCTAGATTGAGAACTTCTACGAAAGAAAGATTGTGCCAACAACAGAAATCGAACTTATATCCTCTTTGACATCAGGGAAGACCCTTCTTTAAACGTAACATACCTTTATGGCTACGGATGCCGCATCTTTTTTTTTTAATCATTTCACCCCAAGCAGGGTGGGAAGGTCACTAGTGCGCAGGGGGTTACAGAGAGTGGAGGTAAGAGGAAGTACTAGGTATGGGGGGACCTAGGGAAGGATAAAAGCTGAACAGGGTTCAAGAAAAAATGGCGATTGACATTGCATTTAAAATGATTATTACAAATATACAATTTGAGACTTAGATGATTCATGTTATTTTCAACATCCCGACTCTAAAGGTTTCGTGGACACGCCCTCCACCAATCACTCCGTCCACTCGTCAAGCGATACCAGCAATTGATTGTTTATTTTCTTGCCACTTTTGTATTGAGTTAAAAATAGTATATATATATATATATATATATATATATATATATATATATATATATATATATATATATATATATGAGAAAGTAAGAATTTTTTTAATTATATATCTCCAACGAGTAACATTTTAAGAAAAAACAAGTTGAAAATGCAACTGGAGTCTTTAAAAATATTTATTTTTGAGTAACTTTACCGGTTTTTTTTTAGATCTATGATTTGCAAAAGTTAAATTGAGATGAAGAGATTTGTAGTTATGGTATGATATATTTCGCATCTGATGTACTAATTTTTCCGAGTCAATAAAGCGACATTAGATTTGGTGTTGACCTCATGGAGAGGACGCTCTTCTGATTGGTCAATTTCGGGTGCTTTTTATTCGATCACATTGGGGTCACCACTTGTCTGAATTCATCGTTTGATTTGGCAGAAAGAAGTCGTAATGAACCATGCTTTTGCAATGCCGCAACATCACCTTTTTCGGATGCAGACCGATATTTAATTAGTTAACGGCAGCGCGTTTCGTTTACCCCAGGACAATTTTTTCTCCACATTGTTGTAAACAACCGAATTTTTATTGTCGGTAATCGTTCTTTTTCAAATGATTATGGCTAAAAATGCGTTCCATTAAATTTGTTTCTATTAATTAAACATCTTAGCGATTAACGTAACTTTGTATTTTCAAATGTCTTACAAGGCGAATATGAATAACGAATCTCGGCGATGTCCGGTATCGTATGGCCTGGATTATTTTTAATCAGATTTTCGATTTAATCCTCAAAGACTGCAAGCCTTCCGGAAGGTTCTCGATCTTCTTGATCAAAATTTCTACTTCATGAAACTAGCGAAGCGCATCCGAACATTGATCTATAGCTATAGCATAATCTCTATAAACGACGTATTTTTTTACAGTTTTTATAACGTTTGTTACATTTCCGTAAATAAAAGAGTGACAAAAGACGAAAATGCCTTTAA